TTGTTTGCACTCTTTGGAATTGTACACAATGGTTTTCACGTCATCCAGACTCAGCTGAACCTCGTTACTGGAATATACCACTTTGTAATTAGGAGGAGGGGCGTTCAACTTGAAAGTAACCATTGAATCTGATTCGTAGCTGGAGTCTTTGATGAAAAATTTGCCAGACGATCACAACAACAACAATAAAAACAACATAAAAAACAACGCCATCAACAACAACAACAACAATTACAACAACAATAGTACAAGAGCAACAGTTGCAGAGCCAAGCAAATCACTTCGCAACGACAACCAACTGGTACATAGTTGTAGCTGATAACCAACTATAACAACCAGCCGCAACAACAAAAACAACAATAAAAAAAATAATAAAATGACATCAACGACTTACTGATAATAGAAGAGACGGTTGTGCCATCTAAAGAGCAGAAGACGATAGTAGTTTTGGTTGGCTGAGCAGCGTTCAGCGATAATGACACGAACGAACTCTCCTCCAAACCCAACTTTGCCACATCTTGACAGCTTTGGACTGATGGATTGATTGAATGAGGAAAGAATGAATAAAAATGTGATTGAGTGAATGAATGAATGATTGGTTGTTTTATTGGTGGTATGTTTGTTTGGTTGGTTGGCTGGTAGATTGATATAAAGCACTAAAAAACTGGTTGGTGGTTTATTTACTGATTGATTGGATAGTTGTATGATTGATTAATTGAAAAGTGTATTGAGTGGTTGATTGATTGATTGAACGGTTGTGATAAAACCGAGAAATGATTTAATGGCTGACAGAGTGAAATTGGGTTCGTCACGGATTTACACAATAAAATGTTATGTACATGGAACTGGAAGGCATCTTAAATAGCAAGAACTTTTCGTAAATCAATTAACAAAATAACATCTCTTCACACAAGAAAAAAATTGGCATAAAACTACCGACCAGACGAACAAGCGAACTGATTACACGGTTTCGTATCGTTACTGGCCGTCTCGTTTAGACACGGAAGTGAATTCAATCCGGACAATGTCTGGGTGCATGTTCTGGTCCTTTTCCTGTTTCCAAACCCACAAGTTGCTGAACACCTGCTCCATGCTGACCAGGGACTCCATTCCGCGGGGGCTGGATGAAAATTATTTATAAGGAGGGAGTGATTTAGAGAGGGAAGAAAAATTTTGTTGATCGAGCAAAAATTTTGGAAACTGTATGATTGGCCGATTGATTCATTGATTGATCCATTGATTGATTCATTTATTGATTGATTCATTCATTCATTCATCAATTGTTAAAAATGTTATGTATCTTAAATTTTTACAGATGCGAGATTGATGATAATAATTTTAGTTTAAACATTTGAAAAATCTATATAATCTTCGAAAAAGATGGAACGAAAAACTTTAAAAAAAATTTATAAACTTTAAAATTTGAAACAAAATCAACCAGAAAAAATTGCGATTTTAAATTGAAACCGTTCTCTAACTTGGGCAGACGGACATATTGCATTGATCTCTCTCCTCTAAGAGGCCCTTGCAGGAACTACCCCCGTTGGCTGGGGCCGTGCAATCTCTCTTCCTGATTGCCTCGCCGGAGCCACAGGTCACACTGCATATCCAACGGGTCCACTCGCCCCACTGGCCGTCAACTGAATCACGTGATGCGAATTAGTGATTAGGGGGATTTGGATTAGTGAATGATTGTGAGTAGAACTGTGCAGGATGGCTATATACAACGAGTTTAAACAATTAAATATTTTCATAAACATAAAAACATTTATAAAGCTAATTATACATATTCAATTATGTACATGCTTATTTATATTATATTATTACAATTATTATACATAATTTGACATACTCATAAAACTAGCAATACACAAATATGAATACAAACAAACACACAGAAACGCACATAGAGACACATACAAACACACACATAGAAATGCACATAGAGACACACACAAACACACATAGAGACACACACAAACACACACACACCCAAACAGTCAACAACAGTCAATGCTCTACCTGGGCATGGTTCATCGTTACAAAATTTTTCCATGGTGTTATCCCCCGGGCAATCGAGACCCCCATACTTGGGGGGGTTACACTCCCGCGTCCGGATCTGCCTGCCACCCCCACACGTAATGCTACAACTACTCCAGTCGCGCCATTCCTTCCAGGTCCCGTCAACTAACAATTTAAAATAAACTCTGATAAATTTAAATTTTTCGAATGTCTCAAATTTAAGTTTTTATCGAATAATTATCGATTAATTATTATTATTATTATTAAATATTAATTAATTGATTAACAAATAATAATTAATTAGTGAAATATTTTTTATTTGTTACTCGCTTACTTGGGCAAGGATCGGTATTGCAAGTGTCAAATTCACTGTTATTCCCCTGGCAATATAAGCCACCAAATTGGGGCTCAATGCAAAATCGTTTCCTGATTCGCTGGCCGCCACCGCAGGTCGCATTGCACGACGACCATTGGTTCCACTCCAGCCAATAGCCGTCGACTAAATGAGGTCAAATTTTGCATAAATTATTATTAACGGGAATGTATTAATTTTGAAACAACATGAGATACTATTGAGTTGAAGTTTAATATTGGCAATTAAATACTATAAACAATGAATTATTGTTATTATAAGAACTATAAGTAGCAGTAGTAGTAAAAATAGTAGTAGTAGTAGTAGTAGTAGTAGTAGTAGTAGTAGTAGTAGCAGCAGCAACAGTAAGCGTGTTTGTCGCTTTCATCTCATTACTTATAATAAAAATAGTAATGGCAATAATAATAATAATAATAATAAACAGTGATGGTGAAAATATTTCAAAATAATTCATTAACAAATGGCAACATTTTTAAAGGGTAGGACGCACCGGCGCATGATTGGCTGTTGCACCGCTGCACTGTGATGTTAGCCCCGCTACAGGGCTGTCCGCCATACTTGGGGTCTTCACAAACCCGGGTCCTAATTTGCTGGCCCCCACCGCACGTGATGTTGCAGCTGCCCCATTGGCTCCAATCCGACCAAAAGCCGTCGACTTATTTTTATTATTAGTTATACAAAATTTTTAACGTCCGTTGTTTGTTATTATTATTTTTGTTGTTCGTTATTCATGTTTGGTAATATTATTAACAATTATATTATTATTGCTTGAATATTATTATTATTATTATTATTGCTGCCTATTACTGTTATGTTTAATGTTTAAATCACTTACGTTCCGCGGTTTTTTTAATTAAAGCAAAAAAGTTGTTTAATGAATGAACGAGTAACGAGACGACATAGAAGCGACCACACACGCTTCCAGAATGAATTCCAACAACAACAATAATAATAATAATAATAATAACAACAATAATAATAATAACAACAATAATAATAATAATAATAATAATAGCAATAATAATAATAATAACTTACTAGGGCATTCCAACGTGTTACAAGTTTTATTCTGAAAATTCTCGCCGCTGCAGTCTTTACCATTATTCCTGCCTGGAACGCACGTACGGTTTCGCGACTGCCGACCACCGCCACACGTCAGCGTGCAGCCTGACCAATCGGTCCACTGCGTCCACTGGGCGTCCACTTATTGTTATTATTATTATTTGTAAGTATTTCTCAGTGGTATCAACAACAACCACAACAACAGCAGCAACAACAACAACAACAAGAGCAACAACAGTATCATCAGCAGCAACAACAGCAGCAACAACAACAGCAACAACAACGAAAATGGCATGTGAGAGGTGGAGGTGTGTATGGGTCCGCAAGGACATTGCCAAGCCAAGCACCATAACTCTCGTAACATCGGATCGCTCCATTTATTATTGCCACGTAATTATTATCTCTTATTTGACGACAACAACATCAAAAGCAACACCAAACACGACAATAATGTCTAGAAAAAACAACAAAGATATAAAAATTTCAGCCAAACCAGGGCAAGGGGGTAAAGAACATGGCTGGGTATCTTGTCCGCGCCCTTCACAACCATCGCCACCATTTCTCGGGGGCGGAGATGAGCAGGCCCTGCTTCGAGTTTGCGCTCCGTCGGCGCAAGTAACCGAACATTTCGACCATTCCGACCAATTGCTCCATCTGCCGTCGACTGCAGAAATAAATTATGACGTAATTGCGACGTAATTATGAAGTAATTATGACGTAATCGTTATTTTTATTGTTTGTTGTTGTTGTTTTTTTAAACAAAAATAAAGTCAACAACAACAACAACAATAATCAAAATAATAAGACCCACCCACGCATTTTACAGTAAGTTTTTGGTTACAGCTGCTGACGCTCCAGCCACTGTGGCGACACGAAGTCAGCGTCATTTCATCACCAGAGCATTTGAAATTTGTCAAGAGATACATCTCTGAATCTTTATTAGCCAAGTCTATTAGAACCTTAGAAGCTGTTGTGTTGTTTTGTAGTGATAGTAGTAGCAGCAACAGTGGCAGCAGCAGTAGCAGCAACAGTGGTAGAGGTAGTACTAGTAGTAATAGTAGTAGCAATAGTATTCTATTTTATTTTATCTACAATAAACAAATTATGAACCAGCCCAAACCTGAATACGCTCCGTGTTTAAATCCCATCTGCTTACAAGCTACGTCGCCATTTTGTTGGGTCCACGCGAAGTCGCCGCTGCTGCTACTGCTGCTGCCACCGATGACGTCAGCGCAGACAAACAACCAATCAGATTGTTTATTTTCAAAAATTTGAAGGCTGCCTTCGCCGTATGGAAAGCCAGTTTCAGGCTTTAGAACAACTTCAGCTGCGCGATTTTCCATTTTTATAATTTAAATCATAATAATAATGATAATTAATATTATTATTACTATTTCCATTGCAATTCTACTACTACTACTGCTGCTGCTGCTACTACTGCTACTACTACTACTACTACTACTACTACGACTACTACTACTACGACTACTACTACTATTACCACTACTATCCTAATTACTACACCTCAGAGATAAATAATTCACCCATACTCTTAATTAAAAATTGAACATCTTATTATAATAATAAATAAATAAATAATAATAATAATAATAAATAAAAAATAATAATAAATAATAATAATGATAAATAATAAATAACAATTATAAATTTCACCATTGCAACTGACAGACGAGCAGGTTTTGTTTTCGGCGGCCAGTCCGAAGCAATTTTGATCCGGATCCGAGTTAACACACTGCCTAATTCTACTACTGTGTCCCTCCCCGCAAGACTCAGCCGTCGAACACTGGCTCCACTCACTCCATTCACTCCAGTCTAATTTTATTTTTGTGAGAAATGTGAATAATAATATATGAATATTTTGTCTGTTTGATGGTTTTTTTTTATCAAAGGTTTATTTGTTATATATTCACACACAAAAATTAACTGTCGAAAAAAGTAAACACCATATTACAAACGGTAATAAATTTATAAAAATATTAACTAATGAAAAATAACTGTTAATAAATCGTTAGTAATACTACATGGTCGTAACGTAATATGGCCTATTGAATAAATAGAAACAAAACTACGAAAGAATTAAAGAGCATGAAACACGTATGAAATTATGAATAATAGATACTACATATTAAATGTGCCCCAGTAATACGTTAAAAATTATTAAGGTACATTGCAAATATTCAATTATTATTTATCATATTCATATTCGGTATAAACTCGTTAAGTACCGGTTTATAACTATTCGAAGATTTGTTATATTCGATACGTATCGATGTCTACTCGATAAATTATTATTGATATAAATATTCGGAAAAAAGGTCGAACACTTACAAGGACAATCCTTAACTTTGCACTCCTCAATCTCATGGCTCATCCCGTAGCACATCTCGACACTCTTCTGCGACATGTCGACCTTGTTGACGCAGGTTCGACTGCGTGCTGCGACACCTGGACCACATTTTTCCGAACAGTCTGACCATGCCGACCAGCCGGACCACGATATGTCAACTGTACATTCAGAATGCTATTTGTTATACACGTTTACAGAAAGCTTTCATATGTAAATTGTGACGTTCTTTTAACTATTTCAAACAGATTCATACAATTAGCGTTATAATTAGCTCTATTGCACCAAATATTTTAACAACCATAATTCTAACCTCAACCTTTTTACCTAGTAATCGTTTAGTTTAGTTTAGTCTTATCTATTCATTTGTAATCCGAACGACAATAATAAAAATTATGACACTTTTATTCTCAATGTTTTTATTAATTTTCCAATTTGCAATTTTGTTTAGTTGTAATTAAGTATATTTTGTTTTTCCAGACTGGCCAGTTTGTGTTAATAACAATAAGATTAATATCAAACAAATTAGCAGGCAACTGATTAAATGTAATCTAAACCAACCTTTAATATTGCAAACTGGACCAGTCCATTGCGATGAACAGAAACAGAGGTACGTTTTATCTGATCTGGAGAGGCAGGTACCAAAATTCATACAAGGGGTGCTCAGGCATGGGTCCGCGTCCTTTTAAATAGAGGTAAATAAATAAAGTAACTGTATTAGTTATTATTAATTGGTTAATAAATTGGTCATTTAGTTAGTCAGTCGGTCGGTTGGTTGGTTGGTCAAACAACCGATCAGTCAGTCATCAATCAACCAATCAACTACTTGGTATTTAGGTAGCGCAAATTCTAACATGTCAACAGTTTTCTCTACGTTCGCGAGACAAATAATTAAGAAGAAATAAACATAAGAATAAACCTGGCTGATCTTATAAGCATCTTTCAGATAATAATCCCACCCGTCCGATGGTTTTAGTAGCTCTGGATTTGATTGATGAGAACCAGAATTAAGATGACACAAGTTATTAACGTTGTTAAAATTGTAGGAGAGACATCTGGGGTCTTTCAAGCAAGCCATAGCGCACTGAGTAACCAGACTATAGTTCATGGAGGCCAGGGTTTGACCTTTGAACTCGTAACCCGACGACTGATATGTAATCTGGCTTTCGGTCCATTCGAAATATTGACTGATTCTCTGCTGAGATTGTGCTTTTGAGGTTAGCAGAGTTAAAACTGTTACGACGAATAAATGGTTTTTTGACATTTTTTGGAAAAAATGTGTTTTATTCGTTCGTGAAGAAACCTATTTTGTGGAAAGTAAAATAATGAAGCGCATTAAAATGAGAAAAATTTGTTTGTGTTTGTATAGCAACCGTTGTTGTGGTAACAGTTTGGATGAAGCCTAGCCAAACAGCTGATCAAATATTAACGAACCAAGTGTTATGAACTTCATCCTTAATTAGATTGATTGATTGATTAATTAGTTGGTTAATTAATTAATTTAATCATTTATCGCTCATTCATTCATTTGTAAGTGTGTCGAAGAGTTGGTGCATATCTCAATTATCTTGTATATGAGTGTCGTCTTAAACGCAATCATTCTTATTCAAACTCATCAAAATCGTGAAGAATATTAGTTTAATCTATTTTTAGTGTTTGTATGGTTTTATTAGTTTAATAAGGGTTACATATTATTTAGAATTTTCTTTTCTTTTTTGGAATCCTTTTTCATGCTCGTTTTTACGTTTCATGAAATAAACCGGTTTTAAAAATTTAGTTTAATGAGATTTCATAATCATGGGTAACTTCATTGACGAGATTCTCCTTTTTCATTCTTTGTGACACTCCTATCTGGGTGATCATGACAATTATTTTGAGACTGTTGTGATTGCGCTGTTGTAAGAGAACACCAAACCAGGAAGAGAAGCAATTTCAGTCAATACTATACCGATTCTAAGAATTACTGATACCTATACTGAATCGAAATGATGAATAGGATAGACACGAATACCTATCAGAATCGTATCGCAGTTTCTCTTTAAATAGTACGCACAAATCACTTCTTTAGCTCGTGATGTTTTCATTTATTTTATTAAGGATTGTTAGTTTTAAGCGTTTAGATTTGCAATCCGACAAGAAGACCTAGCTGGATATTTATTTTCGTTCATATTAATCCTTTTCAACAAACATAATGCCAAGTTTCATGCTAAATGCTATTTATACAAAAAAAATTTTTCGTCAAAAGAATTTTTGATAAAGTTTGAATATAAAATATATTTAGATGGATGTTCTATATTCCTATGCTGTGTTATTGAAATTGTGCCACCCTTGAAATTTAATCTGAGAATGCCTTATTGCATTCTCTCTATTATAAAGTTTACTGAGAGCAGAAACATTTTTGACAGTATGACATAGCAAGTGATAATTGCCGGCCTTTTAATCCTTCAACCTAAAAATTAAATTTATAGTTCAATTCTAGTAACAAAATGTTATTGTATCATCTAACACTTGTTTTAACTTTTATTTACTTTTAAATAAAATGTTACAAGTAAGATAAACAAAACATGCCGAAATGATTCTGGCACGGCGCATAAAGTTGCGCACTAATTTTAGTGCAAATCTTGAACTAACCGTAAAAAAACTGTCTTCAAGGTCATCACTGAACTTTGAGGATGAAAAAGTTAAAGACTCCAGCAAAGTCATCGGGCTTACATTAAGTAACTTGTAACAATTTTTATTAAAAATGAAAGAAAATTTAAATTATTAAAATTTAAAATTAAATTAAAAATAATTATCGAATTTCATTATAACTTAACTTAAAAACTTAGATCAGCAGAAAAACATTTTAAAACGGCGGCCAGTCTACGATGAAAATATGCGTTTGCTCAAAGTTGCCATCATTGGGGCGCCTAATGCTGGAAAATCCACACTCGCTAACAAGCTCATCAATTGGAAAGTTAGATTGGTTATAAAATATAATTTAAATTTAAAACTTTTAACATAGATTTCTTTATTTTATAAATGAGCCATTCAAATTTTAATGGTATCTTCTTTAATAGAATTTAATATTGGATCTTATCTTTCTATTTTATATAATTTTAAGTATAATTTACTTTTAAATTTTAATCTAAAAAAAGTTTTCATCGGTTTCTCAAAAAGTCCACACCACTAGACACAGGACATTGGGTGTCCTGACTGAAAGTAATAAGCAAGTGGTTAGTGATTTTTTTTTTAATTTTTGATTAAATAGTTGATTGATTTATTAATTTATTCAAAATATTCATCTCTTTGCTTATTTATTGTTTAATTTTTTAAAAACTTAAATATACTTTTAATGTTTAAAAATTTTAAATGAATTCTTTTGTCATATTTGTTTTACTCGGTAGAAATTATTTTCTTTATCCCTAACTGATATCAGCTTCTTTTTCCAAAATTAGATTTTCCTAGACACCCCAGGTGTAATAGTACCATCTAAAGTCAAAAAGTAAATTTAAATTAAATGAAATTTATAATATTATTTAATTTTTATTATTTTTCAAAATAAATAAATTTAGTATTATCATCAGTAATAATTGTATTTACCAATAAATGGTATAATATAAAAGGTTCATTTTAATATTATTATTTTAGTAATAATATAAATTCTTAATAAAGACACAATTTAGAGATGAGTTTGTTAGTTGATCCCCACCAAGCCCTGCATGAAGCTGACTTGAGTATTTTTTACATTCTTTTATTTTGTTTATTCGTTCATTCATTCATTAAAATATTCGTTCATTCATTCATTCATCCACAATATTTTCTCCTAAAAATTGCAGTACTAGTCGTAGTGGATGTCTCAAATTTGTGGCACAGAACACACCTGGAAGAGGAGATTATGAAGATGCTTGTATATCACGCCAATAAACCTTCCCTATTGGTCCTTAATAAGGTTTGTGGGCGGCGTTTAAAGGTATGTTAATGAGTTATTCTCTATTCCGATGGTTGTTGTTTTTAACAGAATATATATATCAAATCAAGCGTGAAATGAAATTGAATAGAATTAAAATTTTAAAAACTTTCGAAGGTGGATTTGCTGAAGAGCAAAGAGGAAGTACTAAATGTCATTAGAATCCTAACGGAAGGATGCTTAAACGGAAGGAAGTATTACCAATCAGGCCAGGGAAAACAAAAAAATTTAGCCAAAGACTCTGATGCAAATTTTCTTGAAAATTTATTTAAAAGGATGAAAGAGGAAATGGAAAAAGAGAATGAGAAAAATGGGAATTCCCATTCCAGGACGGAAATAGATGTGAATATTGCCACTACTACTACTACTGATGATGATGATGATGGTGGCGAATCGTCATCATCATCAGTATCGTCATCTTCATCCACATCATCATCGCCATCAGTAGCATCATCATTATTATCATCATCACCGTCTTCATCATCATCATCTTCATCCACATCGTCTACGCCATCATTAGCATCATCATCATCATCGTCATCATCATCACTTTCCTTGCCACCAGCTTCACAATCGTCGTCTGTTTTGCCTAATTTGAAGAGGCAATTGGTTAGTGTAGATAGGGGCAGTGTTAATTTGAGAGAGCAAGTTCAATGGCTGGCTTACTATTCTAAGCTAAACGAGATTGGTAATTTTGTCTTCACCTTACTCATTCATTCATTCGTTCGTTCGTTCGTTTATTTCATTCGTTGTTTTATTCATTTTACCAGTTCGTTCACTTCATTTGTTCATTCATTCATCATTCATTCAGTCATTCTTCTTTTTTTTCCAAACTTCCAAGGTAGAGAGATGAGGCACTGCTACGGCTGGCCTTATTTCAAGGAGGTCTTCGTCATCTCGGCAGCTAGTGGCGACGGCATTTATGAATTAAAAGTAATTATTTCGAGAAAATTAATTAATGTAAATTATTATCATTTTATTATTACTATTTTGTTATTACTAATTCAGGTTTTTATAATTTAAATTTCTTCATAATTATTCGTTCATTTATTTATATTTCTATCATTCATTCGTTCATTCATTGTTTCGTTCGCTCGTTCATTCGTCCGTTTGTTCGTTCAATCATTCATTCACAATATTACTAATTCATTAATCATTCAATCATTCATTTATAATCAATGATTTATAATCCTTCATTTTTTTATTCTTTCATTAATACACTCGTTTGTCTATCACTCTTTCTTCTATTCATTCATTCTTTCTTTTAACAGAACTACCTAGTCGACTTGAGCATCCCTTCAAAGTGGTTGTTCCACGAGCAGGTGGTGACCAATCAGAATCCACTACAGCTGGCACGTGACATCGTCCTCGAGAAGCTTCTAGATAACCTCGCTGAAGAGATACCATACCAGATTGAAATTGTACGAAGGACTCATTCTTTTTCTTTTGCCATTTTTAAATTTATTTTTTGTGATTTTAATTTTCTGACACAATTTTGATTAAAAGTAGATATACATTTCATTATTTTTTTGTCCTAATTATTTTCTTTGATTTTTTTCTCCATAGAAATTAGTAACGTGGCACGTAGATGATGAGGATCTTCTCAGAGCTCAGTTTGAACTGTCATGCAGCAAGAAGCGACACATTGTTAGCATGGCATAGCGTAAAGCGTAGCATAGCTAACTCTCTCTCTCTCTCACTCTCTCTCTCTCTCTCTCTCTCTCTCTCTCTCTCTCTCTTACTTTTTTAAAATTGCTTTTATTTTTATAAAATATTTCACGGATTATTGGTTTTTATTATTACGACTACTTTTACTACTACTGCTTATACTTCTACAACTACTACTGTTACCACAACCATCACCGCTACTACTACTACTACTACTACTACTACTACTACTACTACTTCTACTACTACTACGACTACTGCTACTACAACAAATAACAATTGTAGTACCAACATTACGATAAATTCTACTACTATTAACTTTTTTTCCGTTCCAGCACAAACTGTTGGGAAAGAATGGCGAAACGATAAGAAAGATTTCGATGGAGGTAAAGCAGGAGTTGATGAACGCCTTCAAGCGCGAGATGTCGCTGCAGCTAATTGTCCGGGGCAACTCTAAAACTAAGCCCCCTATTAAAAAATAAAATTTCCTATTAAAGTTTGAACTAATTTTTATTCACTTTTACCAAATTTTAGTGAAAATCTGGTAAATTTTTATTCTAAAATATTTTACTTATTTTCCAAGTGAATTTTAGTTAGATTTAAGAATTCTCATCTAATTCCGAGCAAATTTTTAATAAATTTGGTTATTTTTAAATAAATTTAATTTAAAATAAATTTTTCGAATATTTCATTGGATTTTTTGTTTTTTTTTTTGTTTAGTTTGGAATAAAATTTTAGTAAAATTTAAATGTTATTCTGCTTTACAAGTCGTTAGTGGTAAGTGTATGCTTGAGTCCTGTTCTAATGTTTTCATCATTAAAATGTCTTTGGTGTCTTTATATTTGATCTTTGTAAATTTCCTGTTTTACGAATTTGTTTTCTTATCGTTCTATGTATGTATACATATATTTAATATTGTATACCCATCGCCTCTGAATCGAGACATTTTTAATTAATTTGAAATAATAAAATTATTTAATTTTAATACTACTAATTAATTTTTTAATTATTATTGTTTCGTTTTTTTTGGCTTCTTCAGAAGGCAAATGGGGGATCCTCAG